ATGTATTCATAATATATATATATATCCATGTATTCATAATATATATATATATCCATGTATCCATATTATAAAGTTTAGTTTGTGGTTAAATAAATACTAAAGTGTAAAAAACACATTCCTACATTTGTGTGCTGTCAGTAATTTTTGTTATTGTTGTAGACATATTTGTTTAAAAATGTGATTTTTGCACTTTTCTTTTTAATGTTTATCAAAGATGTAAACTTGGGCTTTTGATTGGGTTTTGATTTTGTCCGTTACACGACTTTTGGTTCTTTATCTTTATATAATCATGTTTTCTGGATATAAACGTGTCCTCAATGCATTTGAATTAGGGATTTTAAAAAAAATTGTGCATATCTGCTACATTGTGATTTTTTAGGTTTTTTTTTATCATATTAGTTGTTTTTTTATGTATTATTCAGTTGTAATTATTAGATTTGCTTTGACATTGTTGTTATACAGAATCTGATTTTGATCCAGGGTTTGCAGATCCTTGCAGGATGCAGAAGCAACTAAACACCTTGTACCTTTTATTATGCCTTTTTGTGATTTCATTTTCATGGTAATTCAAAAAGTATTGTGCTCATTCATGTGCAAAAGAGGCCTTGTGATTGAGATGTACTGATGCATACAAAAAGCTCACCCACAGTGTGACCTCAGCTGGGTTAAGAAAACTAGTTTGTGGATTCAGAATACAGTCAAGGACTTTTCCTTTGTGCAAGTTAGTTCTGGGGTTTATCTCTTTGGATCTGGGCAGAGTGAACAGATGAGCACAGAACTTGTAAATTATCTGAAGCAGACACAAAAGTGTCCTTGTGTATGAGAAATATAGTTGCTTGCTGAATTAATTTGTCTTTTTTTTTCTCCATAGACCCACACGTTGTTTTCACTACTTGGACTAAGTCATGCTTACGTGACCAGTATCGGCAAACTAGTGGGTGTGGTGGCATTGAAAGAGGTAAGAAACTTAACTTACTGTATTTTTCACCCTGTAAGTCACAGTTTTTTGCATAATTTGCTTGCCCTGCAACTTATACACCAATGCAACGTATTTATGGATTTATGGATTTCTTCCCATATTTATAAACCATTTTTTGGCTGAGATATGACCGTTTCATTCATTCTGACTGAAAATATTGAACACTACCATTTTCAGCAGCTAGATGGCACTTGAGCAGTATGGCATGCCGTTGTATCATGTAATAGGTAAAAGTGGCTATTAATGACCCAGTCGGCTTGCCATAGCTGCCACCGTCTTCTGCCTGGAGCAACTGTCAAATCAACTTCATTTCGCTGCGCCGCCCCGGCGAAATGCAGCTAATTTGACTGTTGAAGTGCATTTATTAAGTAAAAGTTCAACCGAGACGCACTTTTCCTATAATTTCTAGAAAACAAATAATTGTTTTTATGTGTTAATCTAGTAAAATTCTTGTTAAAGTCTTCCCATACACGTCCCCGGGGCCACCAATCGATTCTTGGCACAACGTTGGCCCACATTTCCAAGTTGTCAGCAGTGGCGCGTAACAAACGCGACGCGTCGGCGCTGACGCATAATAGATGTGACGTATACGGCAAAGTGACGTATTTATGGATTTTTCCACTTTATTAAACATATTTGGACTGATGCGGCTTATAGGGTGGTGCGACATTTCCGGCGGAAAATACGGTAGTCTTTGCAGTTAGGGACAGAGGTTATACCACCTACTTTGATGTCTACTGTTTGATGTACTTTGATGATTGGGCCTGTCCAATGTTGGGGGGCAGATTGTTCCAAAGTTTAGGGCCCGCAACTGAAAACTTCGATCACCTCTGAGCTTCAGTCTGGTTTTTGGTACAACCAAAAACAGCTGATCAGATGATCCCAGCACCCGAGAAGGAGCATAAGGTTGAAGTAGGTCAGAGAGATATGAGGGTGCAAGGCCATTTAGGCACTTAAAGGTCAACAGGAGGATTTAAAAATCTGTTCTGTTATGTACAGAGAGCCAGTGAAGGGAGGACAGAGCTGGTGAAATATGATCAAACCTACGAGTTCCTGTTAAGAGTCAAGCTGCAGCATTCTGGACGAGCTGGAGACGTTTGTGTAGACAACAAAGTCCATGCTCAATAATCCAGGTATACAATCCAACATTTTTCAGTCAGGTCATCTGGTATACCTGGATTTTTGATCATGGACTTTGTTGGTTTTGAACCAGTTTGACATGACGGTCGACGAGCGAGAGGGCCGGCACCGGAGGAGGGTGCGTGCCAAAGACACCATTTTAGCACCAACATAACTGGTTTGTTCCACTTTGGAGGAAGCTGTTGGGGGAAGAATCAGTTTTGTGTTGTGTGTTTCCTTGGCTGATGAAGCCTTCTGGATGGAAGGTGAAACGTTTCATCACAAAAAAGAAAAAAGAAACTGTCCAGATGACCTGACAGAAAATTGTTGTTTTTGTAGACAGTTTCTGAAAATCACAGCCCACGTTTGTGTGCACAACTTGTAAAACTGTATTTTACGTTGCGCACATCACTCATCTTGGCCCATTGTGGTCCCACCATGACAATCGTGTACTGGTACATATCAAAATACAGTTCTACCCCTCTATAATTATGGAAACTAAGTAGAGAGGGAGACATTTTAAATAAAGCTTTTTACAAATTAGTGTCAAGCCCAGTCAGGTACTGGGTTTATTATATGTGACGCTTGTCACTTCACTTTTCTGTTCCTCTTCCTCATCCTTTTAGTTTTCCACTTGAGCCTGATGGGGTTTCTGTTGTTTGTATTTTTGTTGGCATCATCTTTGGTGTTCATGGCAGGATTCATTCTACTTTATTTCATAAACATCAATCTATTGGTTTATCATTTCCATGTGTTGCAGAGTTTGTTTTTGATTGTTCTCCTAACTTCTGTCTTCTCTTGTGTAGAACATCTTATTCTGACTATTTTTCTTATTGTTTCCAATCTCTGCTTTTCTGTTTCCAAACTTTTTTTTTTTGTTTGCCACCTTAAAAAGCTCCAGAAGGCCATCGAGGGCTCCACGCGCTCCGGTGTCAGACTCCGCCCTCCTCTGGCGAGTTTTCGTGACATCATCAACCATAAGTCTGTCTCTAAACCTCTACCTCCCTCTTCCACTGGTCCTTCCTCTCCATCTGCAACTTCCCCTCCCTCTCCTCAAAGTCTCCCAGCAGCTCCTCCTCCCTCCTCAGCCTCTGACCATGAACACACTGATCGTCATCGTGAGCATGAAACGGAGGTGTGGGTTGAGGAGGTGATGGAGGTGGAGGAGAGCAGCAGCGCTTCAGGCAGCAGCAGCACCACACTGAGAAGGAGCTGTAGCTACAACAGCGACCTCACCCTCCCTTCATCCTCCACTCTCCCTCCTCCGCCAGATCCTCCTCGTACCACTCCTCCACCTTCTCCTCCTTCCTCTTCCATCCCTCTGTCCATCCTGAGACCCTCGCAGAGACTCAGCGAAGCAGAGGAAGACGGCGACGATGAGCCGATGGTTTAACTTAAACAAAATGACATTTTTTACAATGAAAACTTTTTTAAAAGGGAGATTTTTTTTCAGTTCTTAACTTGTTGCTTTAATTTTTAAACATCAGTGTGTTTCGTACTGCATCTGTCAGAAGGTCTTCGTCTGCGTTCTGTTTTCTCGCCTTCTTATATTTGTTTCATTTTCCATTTTCTTGCTAATACTGCGTTTCTCATACAGTCGGAACTGTCTGATTAGTGTGAGGCAACCAAACTGTCTCTGCTACGAAAGAGTCGACTGTTTCAGTGTCCAAAACGGGATCAGATAAATGTTGCCTTCAAACCGTTTTCTTTCTACTTCCATCTTTGTATTAGAAGCTTTTTAAGGCTTGATGAGTAACTAAGCTTATTGTGAAGAATCCAAAAAAAAAGTATAAAACATGCTGATGATAATTTCTTTAAAGCTTTAAACGCATTTCTATTTTTGGTCATGGTGCCGGCAAACAGCGAATAAAATGCATTTTTGCAGCTTTGTTAGAAATATCAGAGTCAGAATAAGCTTTATTAATATTGTACGGGGATACAGAGATTATGTTTGTGCAGTCGTCCGAAAGATGGGTGGAGTGCACGTTGCTGCTGCTACAAGAGCGCGGCCTCTTATCTTTTATCAGAATACTTTTTAGATAAAAAAAGGGAAAAGGCCATGAGGATGGATAGTGGTATTACAAAAAAAAAAAAAAAATTCACATCTTGTCCTATCAGGACACGATTTAAGACATCAAAAACTCTACCAGCAGCACATTTATAAACACATTACATATACATTTGATGTCACGATGGTGAGATTTGTCCATGAAGCACTTCCAGACAGGCCATAGTCCCGATAAGATGTTGGCAGTTCTGATAAGCCTTCACAGACGTTCTCGAAGGGGTGGGGTTGCAATAGATGAAGCTTTTTTCTTATTTTACCCATGTCCCAGGAGAAATTTGATAGTCAGCCTGCTTTCAAGGCCAAACAGCGGATTCAGATTCAGATAAGCCACAGTTGTTGATATCTTCAGGCAGAATGTTGTTTTCTTGTCATCCTTGAGTCCTGCTGGTACTTTTGATTTGTGGGCATTCCACTGATCCGTACTATGAGCCTTCTTCAAGGTCGTCTCCAACATGCTGGCGAGTCCCAGAAGCCGCAGTGGGCCTGTGATTCTCACAAATCGCTTCTATCTTACGGTTTAGCTCGTAAATCTGCTGATTATGAGTACTCGGAGCACAAACCAAACCTTCACAGAGACTCTGCAGTTTTGTCATGGCCGAAACCGCTGCCGATGTCTTCTTCAAAAGATTTTGTCGATTGCGTTGAAAGTCCAGCTCACCAGTTCCTTAATAGTATTTTTCATTCAGAAGATGTGTAACGGGAGCTCCGAGACTCAGACTGAGAGCAAAAACGCAGGAGAAAGAGAAGAACAGGGGCGGGAGAGAAAATGTGTCCGTCTTGTGCGAGAGCGAGTGCAGGAAAAAAAAAATAGATCTAAAGATACCAAATTGTTTTGAACTGAGTTCCGGTTTGGGTGCTTGCTGATACCAAGCACTGATACAAGTACAAAGAAACGTGATTCTGTAGAACCACTTATCGCAAATTTAGTTCATTACAACATGGAATTTGTTTATTGAAAATGCATAATATGAACATCTGTTTCCTTTAAAACATGGATTAAAAAAAACATCTAACATAAAAGTATGGTATTCATGATGTTTAACAATCATCACCACTGTGGTTTTCAGCACAACAAAGGCATTATTTCTAATAAATGACATTGCTCAACACTATTAAGAAAACAAGAAGGCAATGTACCAAATTTCTGCCACTCTCCTTTTTTTAAAAAAGACACCCAGCTTACATCAGTGTGAATGGAGAGATGGCAAAACTGTCACTGATTTGAAGCATTAAGCTTGCATTAGCTTAGTGCGTTTCTCAGAGACTGTTTGCAGCTGCTACGTATTAAGCAGCTTTTCAGGCACATCAGTGATTCTTGGTGTACGACTGATAAACACACCTTCTTCGGCCATATCCACTCTTCCCATTTTGTTCCCTCTCCTCATAATGGTGTAGAATGATGGCCGGCCTGGCTGTCTCGAGTCAGTGCCTCCTACACCGCTCTTGTTCTTTTCACTAATGACACTTTTCACCACAATGATGATGATGGAGGCCTTCATCCTCTTGCAAAGGACTGGTGAGATTGTTGGGAAGCTTGGGCTCAGACCCATAAACTCCCAGTGTCATTAAAGTTGTTCACATTGAAATTCCCCCACATGACTCTTTTACAAGCTATGCGCATGCTATCAGACCCGTCAGCTCTATTTTTCATCAAATTTTTGCAGCAAAATATAAACAAACACACCCACTGCTTCTGCTTTACTTAACAATTTATGTCTTACAAGATGTATTTTAGTCAAATGAGGAACTATTGATTTAGTTTTCTAACTGTCTGTTTTGAGCTGCAGTGATAAAGCTGCTGTGGAAGATTGGCCAAAGCTCCACAACAACCTCTAAACTGTGGGCTGACCTTGTGGCTGCAGCCTCAGAGCTCATCTCATCACCGTTAGGCTGATAAATGAAGCAGCTAAAGATGGATGACAGCAGCAAAACCCCTCCGCACTGCTCCTGTTTTTTCCTTAAATGAAGATGCCTCACAGAAAAGTAACTGGATAATTAGGAATCTTGATGATCTTGTTGCGCAGATCAAACACCTGCTGCAGCGTTTGCTGAACAATGCTTCGTGTTTATGACAGTGACTGACAGCTGACAGTTCGTTGCGTAACATCGACCTACAGTAAAAATGAAAAATGACGGCGCAAGTTGACAGATGCAAATCTGCAAGTTAACGTGATAAATATTTACCATATTTACTGGCCTTTAAGTTGCAGGTTTGTTTTTTGCATAATTTGCATGCCCTGCGACTTATTTATGTTTATTTTCTTCCATATTTATAAACCAGCTTTTGTCTGCGATATGACCGTTTTCATTCATTCTGACATTGAAAATATTGAACACAAGTATTTTCAGCCACTAAATGGCACTCGAGTAGTATGGCATGCTGTTGTGTCATGTAATAGGTAAAAGTGGCTATTAATGACAAAATCAGCCTCATTTTGCTGCACCACCCCGGCGAAATGCAGCTGATTTGACCATTGAAGTGCATTTATTAAGTAAAACTTCAATTGAAACACACCTTTACTTTAAAGTCGAGCAAACAAATAATTGTTTTTAAGTGTTAATTTAGTTAAATTATTTTTAAAGTCCTCCCATGCACGCTCCCACCACCATTTGGCAGCCAATAGATTTTTGGCACAACACCAGTCCACATTTCCGAATTGTCAGCGGTGACGCATAATCGATGCGATGTATCTGGTGAAGCAACGTATTTGTTTTTTTCCACTTTATTAGACATATTTGGACTGATGTAACTTATAAGACAGTGCAACGTGTATGGCGGAAAATACGGTAAATGTTTAACTTGAACTAGCTGTATTTCTAGGCCTCACTGAAATTCATTTGAGTACAATTTTAGGATAATCCCAGGAAAGTTATTGCTTTTTAATCTAAATCCGGTTCATTTAGAATTATCAGCTACTGAAACAGTTGTTTCTAACCCAAAACTGTAAAACTCCAGCACAAAAAGCGACAATCTATCAAACCACTCTCTCGTCTCTGACAGAAATTTGATTGAAAAGTTGGATACTGAGTTTACTCACAAAGGTTAAAAGATAATGTGATGTAAATTTTTAATCTGCAGAGCCACTTTGGATTAGTCCCTCGTTTATCACATGGTTTATGAGACCACGCCCCTCACAATAAGTGAAGTAGGGATACAGTAGTCCAAGGTCCAGTTTCACTCCCAATCTCCCTCCTTCTGTGTCAATAAACAATTTAAATTTAAATACTGTAATAATAAATGAAATTATTTAAATTTAAATTGTGGAGAAAAGATAGGTAGCAAAGGGTTAACCCTTCACGCAGCTCTGCAGCACGGAGCAGAAATGTACTTCTTGAGCAATTACACTGTAACAACTGAAGCTAGAAGTTATAAAATAATTAAAAATAACTTTTAACAATTTTATATTTTGTGATTATGACGATTTTACGATGTGACATACTTTGAATTTTAAGTTGGAAGACAAAAGTCGAGCGGTGCAGCTGGACAGCAAAGGGTTAACCCTTCACAAAGCTGCTTCAGCAGAGGAGAAATGTGGGCGTGGCCGAGAGCCGCAGGTGGCAGAGAGCAGAGATCATGACAGGCTGCAGGGGGAGCTTCTCCTTGCACCTGTGGGCTGCACACAGGTGCAGCAGGTGCTAAATCATTTAAAATAACTTATTTTAAATAAACAATCCATGCTTCTCATGTGGCTCATCCATCAATCAGCCAGTTGTGCGTCATGTCCACTCTTACTTTGAAAAATCGCAAAAGAGCGAGTCTGCAAAAGTCGAACTGCGAAGTAGCGGACTACTGTAGTTGCATTTATAAAATGTTTGTTTTTGTGATGCATTTTCATTTATCATCCGTTTACCGTTTGCTTCATTTTTATCTGCTCATCTTCGATTCTCAGGTGCTGCCTTAAGTCTTTAAACTAAACTAAACTAAATCACTGAAAGCTCTTTGTATCATATGGTTTCTGTATGTTAATCTTCACAAGACCTACATCATGTTGTACGTATAAATTTGTGTATTTATTTGTGCTTAAGTAGAGTCTTGAACGTTTCTAAAACTGTGAATGATGAAAGATGTAGCCCAATAAAGTTTTATGTAAAGTTAAAAGTGGAATGGAATTGATCTTGTGTGTTTGGGTGTGAAATTTATTCAACCAGTCGAGGATTGTTTTAGTTTATACAAATAGATCATCCATCCATCGTCCATTATCTTTATCCGTTTTTTTATTTTCTGGTCGTTGGTGTCACTGGTGTCCATGTCCAGCCATCATTGTGCGAGAGACAGGATACACCCTGGACAGGTCTCCAGTCCATCACAGGGACACATAGAGACAAACAACCATTCACTCTCTCACTCACACCTAGAGACAATTTAGAGTAACCAATCAGCCTAACGTGCATGTTTTTGGTCTGTGGGAGGAAACTGGAGTACCCGGAGAAAATCTGTAAATCTTTACACACTCCCCTCAACCCACCGCCTTCGCTGGCCTCCTTCCTTTTGAACCCCCTGGTTCAGTAATCTAGGTTGGAAGCCAGGCAGCTGCGACGCTCCCTTGTGCAGCCTGTGCTGAGAGCCCCCCCACTCCACCCTCACCCACTCCACATGCATCTTATTGTCTCATCTGTATGTTGCTTTTTTTGTGCTGAGGTTTTTTGCAACCTCACGCTGTGTCCTGTTAGGGATACAGTGTGAGAGAGGATACTTTTTACTTCTTCTTTCCTTTGCGTTGCCTTTTTCTTACCTAATGAAAAAAGGCAGCGCCTCTCATGAGGCTGCAGCCTCAGGCACAGCCGTCTTCCCATGTCTGTTGTTTGGTGGACGGGCTGTACTGAAATGTAATTTCGTTGTGCTTCGGTGCAGTGACAATAAAGGCTGATTCTAAACATGCAAACTCCACCCAGAAAGGTCGTCGGCTGGGATTTGAACTGGGGCGACCTGCTCGCTGAGAGATGGCTGCTCTATCTACTGCGCCACCGTGCCGCCCAAAAGTAGATCAGAATGGAAAAATATCTGGACAATTTCAGCAAAAAAAAAAAAAAAGCCAAATTATTGATCTTTGTTTTAAATTGTCGTCTAACATGTTAAACCTTTTACAAAGCATAATCAAGATTTGCAAAAATGTTTATTTAAACAACTCCCAAATGACGACGACAACAATAATAGAATGTTCTCTGGGTGCTCCGGTTTCCTCCTACAGACCAAAAACATGCATGTTAGGCCCAGGCCTCCCTTGCAAACGAGATCTGGGATCTCAATGGGATTTGCCTGGTTAAATAAAAGTTAATAAATATAGTAGAGTGCTGTGTGACTGGGTAAATGAGGGCACAGATTGTAGTGTAAAGTCCTTTGAGTATCTTGGGAAGATAGAAAGGAGTGCATTCTATTTACCAGTTATATAAAAACAGCAACGTTATATCTGGGAATGTGTATCATTGGTACTTCAGCACGTTGGTGTTGAACTACATTGAGATGCAGCATCTTAGCTTGTTTCCTTGACTTTGTCAGGGTCACAGTTTCAGCCATGACATGAGGCCAGTTGTGTCTCCAATAAGTGATGATGAAACTACACCAGTGACTCTCATGGCATGGATACCTCTCTACCAACCTCCATCCAGGACTCTGATGTGGTGCCACTACAAGAATAACACCATGACAACATTATTTTAGACCTTTAACAGAAAGAAAAACTATTAGACAACACAACATTTAATAGGAACCTTTCTTGCTTCACACACTAAAATGGAATTTGGTACCTCACTTAATTTTCACGTCATGCTAACAACATGCACAGATGGATAGATGGCGGGTATTTCCAGTTCCCCCTATTCACTTCGTGACTGCACAAAAAAAGTTTATTCACTTAATTACTTGAATTGTTTAGTATTAAGTGTTAAGTATTGTATTTTTTTATGCTGAAGTACCTGCTGAGAAAACTGACTGACATTAAATTTTTATTGGTCTGATTTTACAGTTCATTCTGCAGCTCAGTGGACCTCCAGGGATCACAGTGCGTTCTGTCTCTTCTCAGCTGACTTAAACTAAAAGAACGATGGAGTTTGATGTTGCAATGAAAACCAGTTGTTTCTGCTGAGCAACTGGAAGCGAACACATTTAAACTTGAGATTCTGTTTCTGCGCACAAAGCGGTATCCGTCATCGTCCAAGTGTTGCCCTCGTGTGTGTGAGGCTTCAAACAGCTTACAGAACGAGATCTCTGAGCATGAGGACAGATGATTATCAGAGCAATTGGGGCATCGGGGTCTTGATCACTGAAGTGGAAAAGTGTATCGTCCTCTCCGGCTGCTGGAACTGAACGCTGCTTTCAATTTCTCTTCTTTTGGGTCAACGGACACAATCTGATGTAAAAGGCACACCATCAAATTGTGTGCTGCTTTATGAAGCTGCAACAACACCTTAAGGACCAGTTCAGAAAGATTTTGAAACTTAAACTGGTAAGAAAATTGAATTGGACAACTGGATTCACTGGAGTCAGTCGAGACGAGCAGAACAGCTTTGAGTTGTTGTGCGGAGCTCGTGAAAGCTAGTTGAACATTGTACGGTAAAATTTGGGTAGTATTACATAAAATAACCCAGTAGGTACCTGATACCTAAAGGTTAAGTCCCTGGTAAAACTTACCGGGTACATATCTGGTACTTGCAAAGTAAGTTCCAGGTACTTACAGGGTATGTATACCTCCTACTGTAATATCATTAATGTATTTACAGTTACCATGTACATATTTGTTTCTTACAGAGAATGTACCTTGGATTTACAAAGTACATACCAGG